GGATGCAGGCAGGGTCAGGCAGGTGAGGTTGGGTTAACCGTAAAGTGAGCCGCACCGTGGGGGCACACGCCTTTTGGGGCTTTCCTGTTTGAAAAGAGTGCTTGCCACCTGCCCCCACGGGGGCGCAACAGTCCGACATACGATTGGACCTCAGTTCCGCTGCACAGCTGAGCCCATCCAACAAAATGGTGGATGGGGTGCGCAAACTGCGCGGGCCACGAGGACTGCTCGTGGTCCTACCCCGAAGCAAAGCAGAGAGAACCCCTTGTAACTGATTCAACTCTTCTTGCAAGGGAAACCGCGTGGGGATACCCTACTCAGAGTGAAGCCCGGGAGTTTCTTTACCATGCTACATGTTGGCGCGCCTTGGGTTGGTTTTAAGGGCCTCCCTGGAGTTGTAACTGAGGGACACCTCCAAGCCAGGGGAACCCAGCGAACTGTTTTGTCCAGCCTGTCTGAGCCCGATGTGCAGTGATCAGTAATAGTCTTGTTTGTTGTGATCAGCTCTTTTGTTGCATGGCAGTGGGGGCAGCACAGTTGGACCTTCCATTCACACCGAGCTGGGGGGAGCACAATGCTGCGACGTGGGGGGGGCGTACTCACGAGTATGTCCCTCCGAAGCCGTCAGCAAGCAAGCAAACCCCTGCAACAGGCTGCCTGGTGTCAACGGCGCTGGTGTTCAGATGCCGAGACTCCTCCACCTACGAGCTTTCAAGACGCTGACGTGCGTGTCATCTATAACTTCTTCATCAAGCCGCGCGTCGGCGCCTCGAGGCGTGCCCAGGCCAAAAAATGACCTGACGATTGCACGCGATCCGTGCACTCTTCTGCTGTGCATCTGCTCATAAGTTTCCCTTGCCAAATGAGCACACCTGTCCCCCTGATCCTGTCTGCGAGAAAAGCGAGTGCTAGACACCCTTCACCGGACACCCTGAGGTTCCTACATGGAAATCATTTCAGCTGGTCCGCAGCTCCCGAAATACTACATCAGTCTATCACTGGGCACTCGAATCAGCGATGCTGCGGCCGCGATCGAATCTTGTTCCGGCTTAACCTTGAGTTACTTTGTCCAGCCTTCAACGCTCACTTCACACTGGCAGTAGCTGACTAAGGACTGGTGGGCAGAGGCTCTTCATTTGCCGGACTCGGCGGTGCTTTTTGTCGACTTCCTGTCCTCCAGACCCGACGGCTCCCAGGAACCCGGGGAGCACAGAGACATCGAGGCATCTGCGGAGCACATCAAGGGTGTCGCCTTCCCGGCTGCAGACGAGCTCTTGGAGTGCCAGGTGCGAAGGTTGCAGAAGTCGGCGGTAGTCGGCGAGAGCTGTTTCGTACAAATGCCAGGCAATGCTGGGAGTTCTTGATCACGATGCTCCGGAGATGGCAAGCGCATGGCGGTTTCTGGAGTTCGAGTTTGCATCGCGGAATGGTTTCCCAGCAGAACTGATGCAGTCAAGAGTGCCAATGCTGCAAACACTTCTTGGCAACACTTTGACAAATCAGCAGTTGCTGGTCTTGTCATGATGCGCAGCCAACACTCAACACGAGATCTGGTGAATGGGACCTGTGCAGTGTTTCTCGTTTCCCTTGGCGCATCTTGGCGCAGACAGGTTTGGACATCTACTTGGCCTGCGGGACAGGCCGTATGCTGCCACTTTCTGCCATGCCGCTGTCCACACGAGCCCGCATGCAATTCTGCTCGTTTGTCTAACATGTCATGTGTTCTCATAGTATGACTGATCTGCAGAAATGTTTGTCATAGCCAGCTTGGAACAGCCTGCATCCACAGATCTTCGAGCTGCTTCTGCAGTTGCGTGCATGCAAGCCTCCTGGAAAGACAGAGTGAGCCGCCAGGGGCGCTGGCATGCAGCTGCCCATTTGCGGATGGCAGCTGGGTTTTCGGCAGGCGGCAGCAGTGGTCCTCTGTGACAGCGGCATTGCATGCCCGGCTGCAGGTTCGACGCAGGCATTGGGCGAAGCATGCAAGATGTTTCCAGCCGGAACTGCAGAGCTGAAGCGCGCGAGCTCCAAGCCATCAAGGACTCGGCAGATTGCCAGCCTTAGCCTCGTGAAAGTTTCACTGTCTAGGACTACTTCGAATCACGCGGACGCCTTGCTGAAATCCAGGGGTTGCAAGACAGATCCATCAAGCTATGTTGTGCCGACATGTTGGTAACTTCTTTGCAACGATTGCTCCAAAACATTCCACATCAAGCAAGGTCATGGGCAGGCCATCTACGATCAGATCGATCGACGCTTCCAGCGGTGGGGAGCAGGCCCTTCTGTTGACTGCTGGCTTCGGCTTCAACGCGCAGTGCTGCACAGCTTGGGGCACAGGGCCGGTGCTCCGCGAAGCTGCAGAGTGTGATGACGACGAGGACCTGGGGCATGTCGCAGCTCAGCGGTTCCGCTTGCATTGCTTGTTTGTAAAGGAGGTCAAAGCTATTTGCATGAATCCTTCCCTCGTTATCAACGGCTCCAGCGGGTGTCTCAGACTACCAGTGACTACCACATGTTCCTTTTACAAAACCAGCGGGTGATGGGCTCAAGTTTGCCTGGTGCTGTGAGGCTTGCAGGGTGCCCACAGCGAAACAGCGTTGCACATTGCAGCTGCAGCAGGGTCCATGGAAGCTATGAGAGCACTCCTGCCACTTGGCTTTCCGTCGGTTCTGGCGCGCCGACCAGGGCATCGCAATGACATGTGACGGAACTACCGGACATGCAACATTTCCCACAGCCCGTGCCCACCACTCACACACGCACTCGTTTTCTCTCTCTCTCTCTCTCTTTCTCTCCCTCCCTCTCTCTCTCTCTCTCTCTCTCTCTCTCTCTCTCTCTTTCTCTCTCTCCCTCTCTATCACTCTCTCTCTCACTCTGTCTCTGTCTCTCTCACTCTCTCTCTCACTCTGTCTCTGTCTCTCTCTCTCTCTCTCTCTCTGTCTACAGACACACACACACATGCGCACACATAGAAACATGAACACAAACAAACGCACCTGAAGCAGTCGAAGGCTGTGTACATCTTGTTCTTCGTGTTTTCGTTCTGGCCTGTTTGAGCGCCTAAGCCCAGCAGGGGCTGCATTTCATGCAAGTCAGCAGAGGAGACTGCATGCAGACCCCAACGCACAAGACCAATTGGGCGAGACACCCTTGCACTACGCAGCCCTCGCTGGCCAAAGTGCCGCCGCATCCCTGCTCCTCGAAGCCAAGGCCGGATTTCAGAAGTTCAACAGAACACTACAGCACTGATTCGAAGGCAGTGGTTCGTCTGTTATCATGCATCATGGACCTTTCCAGGCCAACATTCTTTGCGAAAATTCTCTTGCCCAGGACTGCTCAAATGTAAATCACATGACTGATTCCGCTGTTCCTTGCGGTAGAAATTAGGGGCGAGTAGTACCTTCTCATGCTCATGAGGATCCCTTGTTCGTGGCCCAACAGAACCTTGTATGCAACTGCCACGACGTAGCGGGCTTCCAGAGCGAATCGCTAGCTGCTAGCGGCCGCTAGCCCATGCTCAGCTCATGCTTTCACGAGGCCTTCAGCGATTGATTTTTGGCCGGTACCGCCCAGGAACCCCGCTGGCTTTCTCGGCATCTCCATGAGCAGTTTTGCCGGCTTTCCGCTACAGCCAAAATCGAGCTTTGCTGTCCGCCGGGAGCTGAAAGGGTTTTGGATGGAAGCAGCATGAGGCGCAGTCAAAGAAAAGTACACAACTCCGCAGCTGAGCTTTCGGCTTGCAGTGATACAGTAGTTACCTACATTATCCCTCCCACCTCAAGTCACTTTGGCTTCTTGTCAGCTGATTTGCAGCAAGTTGCAGCCAAATGACCAGGCAAGCAGCCAAAGCAATCCGTCTTGCCCACAAAAGCACAAACCTGGATACACGCATCCTTTCCTCTCTTGGAGCTGAGACATGCGCGCTGGCCATGGCCATGGCCTACTGGAAGGTCCCAGAAGGCCGAATCAGGAATGCTCGAAACTTGCATTAGCAGCCGATTGCACGATTCTCAAATCCAGGTGGCGAAGATGCAACCGTCTTCGCGCTGGCGCAGCTCTTGCAGTACCAGACCTAGCATCCCCGCACCCACCCCCAGCGCGCCGCAAGCCCCCCACTCTCCCCATTGTTGTGCTCCCCCCGCCACGGCGATCCTAGCTGATATTCCGGTTCTGGCTGCAGCATGCAGGATTGATCACATGTGGTTTTGGCCTCGAGAGACCCCAGCCAAGATCGGTTGGCTCGGAGCGTGAATCCCGAATGGTCTTCTTAAGCATAGAGCATCGCGGAGCTACAACTTGTAGTCAAGGCACGGGGCTCGAACTTAGACATGGGCTTTAATAGAAAAAAATGAAAAGCAGAGGGCCAAAATCCCTTGGACCTTACGTCAATCTGCTTCCCACCTCCATATCCAAATATCCGTCGAGCATTGAAAGGTGGAGCGGCGGTAGCCGACCTGCTAGTGCTGTTGGCTACATCTACCGGGAGGCAGGCAGTGACGCAAAGCGGAGTTTCAGGAGCTTCGGCACCCGGCCAGGAAGGCGGCAGCCTCCATCGCTGGGTCGTGCAGTCGCATGGAGGCGTGCAGAATTTCGTGAACGCTCATGCGGATGCGCGGCCGCCCGGGTGTAATGCGGCGCGAAGCCTTTCCCACTGCGACGTGCACCAAGGTTTTCGCTCTGGAACCAAGAAAGCCAGGCAGGTTGGAAGAAAGCAGAGTAACAGAATAGCCAGACGGCCAGACCTGCGATTCGGGTCGGCATTCGTTTGATGCTGCTGCTTGCTAACCAACTCTGGTCCAGCATCGGCTCCAAGAAGGACGTCTCATGTTGCACGTTAGGCTTCCACGCGAGACCAACGCAGAAGGAGTTTGCAGCTTTGAAACGATTGAGCGGCATGGCCGGCACGTATGTGCAGACCGGTCTTCTTGCAACACTGCAGACCGTCGACTCAGCCCAATCAGTGAAGGCGACCGCTTAGCGGACCCGTGCCGAAGTCCCCAATGGCTTTGCATGGAGTGAGGGTGCTTGAGCTGGAGGGCGATGCGCTCGGAAAGTATGGGATTCGGGAAATGATGATTCATCACAGCCCAGCCCAAAAGATCAACGTCCCTTCATACGAAGCACCATGAAGCCAATGTTAAGTCACTCCCTGCTTTCTACCATCTGTGGTCCTCATCACCAAAGCGAAAATCATCAGCAGCAGCAACATCATCCTCGTCGTTGCCACATCGCGAATGCTAACAATAAGCATTATTGATGAGACTGGTCGACAAGAATGAAGGCAATGGTAGCGCCATGTAGCGGCACAGATGCGGGATTGGAGCTTAATGCCTGCACAATTTCAAAGCTAGCAACCGAAAAGAGGAGTGGTGGTTGGTACTATTGTGAACACAAAGAAGCGCGACTTCATGCATCATTCTCATCTGCAACAGCAGCATCATGCCGGCGTTTGCTTAACCGGTGTGAGAATCCTTTCAAAGGCATCGGGCCATGCCCACTAGCTGCTTGTGTTCTCGCAGACTTTGGTGCAGACGCACCACCCCCGGTGATGCAAGTTATGCGACCACATGCTTGTGAGCACCAAAAATGTGACAACCTAGGTTGTCACTGTTTGCCGGGCGTCTGGTGCTTACTCACACGGGACACTGAAATGCTGATCTTCAAATTCGGTCTTCAAAAGACTCGCGCAGTCTCCAGTGTGTCTGGAGGCAGGGAGGCCAGGCACGCTCACAAGGAGATCCAGTTTCCCGTGGCAAGCGACTGTCGCCCAGCACACTGACGCAACGAAACATCGGCACCCTGTTTTATAGCCAAGTTGGAGTCGAGGATCCGTCGCTGTGAACATCAAGACTGCGGAGGGTGTGAAGGCTCACTTGCATTCTGCAGCGATCACGGCAAGCTGTGAAGTCTGCAACGAAGCTGGAAGACTTTGTTTCCGTTGTAGTGGCTGTGGCAACAGCATGCTTCACCCGCTGTCACCATGGCAGGTTGTCCAGAAAATTGCTTCAACGGTGGACGTGTTCCTGGAGCCTTTCCGGCCGGGGGTCGTGACCTCAAGACACCTCATTCTAGGTCAAGTCAAGGCTCAACGACAAGGTCAGCATAGGCTTTCTTAAACAGCTACCTGCAACTTCAGATCCGGAAGTGTCTCAGCGACTCCCCCCTCAGGCCTTAGGCCACATTGACAACGGGCCGTAAAAAAAAACAAGTCTATTTGCTGCGCCTTGCCACGGTGCTGCATCGAACCTTGAAGCTGACGGTTGCGCTCCAAGAACTTTGCCAGGCCTCATGCGCAGCCCAAGGTCAGCCACTGCACAGTTCTTGGTACAAACGTACAGGCTTTCTGTCAGGGCAGAGGAACCCGAAACCGCCATTCCAATGTTCGCAGAGGCGCATGCAGAGGCTTCCTTCGATGCATGTGACGTCCAGGGCTGTCGCCAGAAGAGGCCTTCTAGCTGATTCTAGCTTAGCCCCCACTTCCAAGCGCGGTGCCAACAGATCCGAAGCTAAGAGGGGCCTTGGATGGATTGCCTCAGTGACCGTTGTATCAAGCTGCAACAACCAGGTCCTGTCGTACATTGTATCGATGCCGCCAAGATCCAACGCCCATCTCCATTATATCTGAAAACCATGTTCCCTGCGCCTCTGTTGACAGTGTGGGCGTGTGCCTGGGGTTTGCGTCTGTGCCCACACGAGAGTCTCGTCCATTTGTCGGTGCTCTCGTGCTGCTGCCTTCCCAACTACTCATTTAGCGCGGAGTGAAGGCCAAGGCTTCGCCAGCTTAGGAAGGGGGCAATCTGCAACACGCACGCGCCCACACACATCCATTCTGTGTGCAGCATGGTTTCGTTGACATGCAAGTGGCTTTATGAGTGGGGCCTATGTACAGGTCTTTGCTTTTCAGTTGTCGCAGGCACGTCCTAAAGGCGAGACAAAGCATGTGGTTCCAGGCCCCTCCAAGCAGCGATGAACCGCTTCACTCTGGTTCCGGTGGGCAGATGCCCTAGTTCCGCGGGGCAAACCGTCAACCTTGATACGAGAGGCTGTAAACTGTAAAGGGTCCACCTGAATTTGGCCTGCACTGGCCTTTGCTTGGGCAAAGGCCATGGCACCTGCTGCTGCTGATAAAGATGCTAGTGACGATGACGATGATGATGATGACGACGATTCTTCTCGTGCTGGCGGCGGTCGCATTGGAGATCATTGGAGACTGTGAGGATCATGCTAATACTGGCATCAGCGCTGATGTAGGCGATGGTGACCATCATCCTGCAGCAGCGGCTTTCCGAAAACAGCCGCAACCACAAAAGTGTCATCTCTGTCATGAGTCATAGTGCACACCGGTCCCACCTCTTTGTATCTGCCAGACCCAGAGCACCATGCCTGCTTTCACCCTAGCCGCTAAAGCCTAAACCAAAATCCTCAAGATCATCCCTGAGGTGGTGGAGAAGCTCGGTTTGGGCCCGGAGGCTCCCGGTTCCTTCGAACCAGGTTACGAGTGAGGCCAACAGCTTGCAGGTGCTCTGCAGTGAGAATCCGGGTCTGATTTATGGTCGCATGACAGGCAGGGAACTTGGACGAGCACAACACTTGATTCTTGCTTTCGGCTGCTGCATGGCTGAGGATATGGCCAGGGTGGAACAGAGTTCAGCTCGATGGCGGGGCATGACAACAACTATCTCGCTTTGGCAGGCACGCTTCGAGTTGTGAGCCCGAGATTTGCTGCCGAGAGTTTGCGAGAGGCACTTTGGACTTCTTCAGGCGCGGGGATGAGAAGCCCTTTCCTCCGGCAAACTTTGCGGGCGACTATGCTCCAGCCTCATGGGCAATCGGCTTAGCCTTGGCTTTGGGAGATGGGCCCCAGGCAGGAGGAGCCATGATGCTGGCGCTGGGGGTTCTCCTGGTCGCGGCTCCAGACACGTTGAAACTTTGGAAATGGGGCTCCAGTCTTTGTGTCGAGTCGAGTTTCCATCTGCCCCTGAGGCCCTGGTCGAACGCAGCCGGAGTGGGCGCGGCCAGGTCATCGATGCCGCCATGGTCGATGGCGCCAACTACACGGTGCTCTCCGCCGTTGCGAGGCTTGGCCTTGCAGCTCATGGTTCGTCCAAGCAGGCGCTCCCACTTTTCAAGTGGATGCAATCTGGGCTCGTTCCAGCCCGAGACTCGGGACCTACATTTCATGACGGCTGGCTGTGGGTCTTGTGCATCGCATTTGATGGGAGCTTTGGTGAACTATGCAATGCCGGAAGGATACCGATTCACATGGATGCATCATTTTTGTTCTGCACACCGCCTGCAAACACTGCATGCATGAATCAGTTTCCACTGAGCGATTTCAATGCACGAAAGCATCAGATATGCACTTCTTTGAACAAACCGGAGAAGCAAAGCAAGGCAAAGTAGAGTGAGAAACGAGCGGCGTACTCCTCCAACTACTGATTTCTGGTTGTGGTCGAGGATACCCAGTTTAATTGATCAACTGAGTCATACTTATTTGTTTACCACTTGTGCCTGTCAGTCATGTCATAAAAAGTCACAGCTGTCATACATTTGCATCAGCCAGCTTTCGAACATTGCGCACTTGATTGATCTCATCGTTGGCTCTGTGAGAAAACTGTAAGGCCGTCTGCCGCACTTGACATACAAAACCGAAGCCGTGATAAATTCGACGTTTGCTGATTCCTGGCAAGCAGTGCAGGGGTCTACAGATCTCAACACCGAGGTAGGAAGAGACGGCCATGTAGTGGCCTCAGACTTTATCTTATGCCGGGGCCTTTGAAGTAGAATGTTCTGCCCCGAGCACGGTCCTTGTGCTCGTGCTGAGTGGCGCTAGGTCAGGCGCCGCACTGGTCCGACATATATCTCTGTAAGGAAGACCCCGCAGCGCCCTTAAAGGACCATGTCTTATTGTCACTTATCGTTGGATGTTGCTAGCAGTTTGAGCCGCATGTTCTTTTACATCTCTGCATGAAAAGCGCTGAGGACAAGAAAGGAACGCATCAATACGTCTCAGTGCGCCATGGGGCTGCCACGGGGCAAGTAGTGCAGAAGTTACAAAGTCTTTTGCGAGTTGGAGAATTTGTGGTTGTAAACAATTGCAAGGTAGATTTATCTTTTTTGTAGGTGTCTCCATACGACATACATAAACACTTCTCGTCCTGCACGCCTAAACATATGTGTACTATGGCGTGTGCAAGTGTAGCGCCGCGGCAAGCAGACACGGGCATGCTTGCGCACATCCATTAGGCAGAATCGTGTGCATGTGTACACTATGCAGATGTGCATGTGCATGTGTGCATATGTAAGTACGCACGTACACACGTATGCATGCATGCATGCATGCATGCATGCATGTGTGTGTGTGTGCACGCATGCGCATGTAAGCAAATTCGTATGAAAGAACATACATGCGTACACATAGTAGAGATAGATTGACAGACAGATAGATAGATCGGTAGATACATAGGTAGACAGGTTGATGGGTTCCAGGTAGGTAGGTCGATAGGTAGACAGAGAGACAGGGAGATAGATAGAGAGATAGAGGGATAGACATATAGATGAGACAGAAAGACAGGTAGGCAGGTAGGTAGATAGAAAGATAGGTAGGTGTGTAGGTAGGTAGGCAGGTAGGCGGGTAAGTAGATTCAGATGGCTACATAGGTAGATAATGTTAGATAGGTAGAGAGTAGATAGAGAGATAGACACTTGGACAGATAGACAGACAGGCAGACAGACAGGTGGGTAGATGGATATGTACTTAGGTGGGTAGGTAGGTAGGTAGGTAGGCAGGCAGGCAGGCAGGCAGGCAGGCAGGAGGGAGGTAGGCAGGTAGGTAGGTAGAAGGATAGATAGAGTTGTACCTGCGTCTTGCACAGCAGTGTGCAGGTACAGGCGATCGAACCCCAGTTCTACAAGGTGCTCTTGAACGGACTTGGGTCACGCAGCTGCAGCGAGACTTTTGGAGCTTCCCAACGTTTCATCAGACAGGTGTCACAAAAGCCTGCCTGTTGCAAAAACACTCTTCTCGAGAAGTGGTTGCAAGGGAGCTGCTCGTGAAGCAGTTCCAACCAAGGCTTGCGGCAGAAGAGCTGCCAGCACAGTATGATCGCAAGGCAATCCGAAGCAGATCTCAAGTCAGGACCTACACAGACATGTTACATGCACGAGTTCCTGGCAGCTGTTTGTTCCTGCAGGCTTGGCCTCAGATGAAGTCCCGCTTTGCGTCGATCTTCCTCACGAAGACTCGCGACGAATGGGACGCGAGCTCGGGTTAATCTTCTTCCAAGTCCTAAGACTCCGATTATTTTATCCATATTTTGTGTCCATGCGCGTGCAAAGGCAGAGGTGTTTGCAGGCACCGATGCGTGCTGCGTTCCGGTCCTGAATGCATCAGAGGCGGCCCGGTCCTCAGCGACGATATGTGCTAATTCATGTCGACTTCGCTCTGCCAGTCAGGCTGCACATCCCCACAACAGAAGAAGGCATAGCTTGAAGCTCAGCGGCGTTTCCTCCCTTCGTTCCCAGGGAGTATCGACTGAGGCTTTGAGCCGACACCCGGCAGGAGTCTGAGTCGAGGCACAAGGCAGACGTGGACATCGCCTTGTGCCTCTTTGAGGCGCACCTGGCGTTTACGAGCCTGCACCTGCACCCAAGCTGAGCCGTACCCCGGGCCATGTGCGAGGGCCTCGGCTTGCCGTAGCTCTGAAAACAAGGTGAGCAATGTTCTTCTTCTGCTGATCCGTGAGGCCTAGACCATGCCCGGTGCCGGGATCCGACACCAGAGAGGCACTTCAAAGTCGGTGAACTCAAGACACGAAGCAACAAATTACGCAAAATGGGCGCTCACCGCAAATCATGAAAGCAGAGCTTCCAGGTGCTGCTCGCCTCTGGCTACTCAAGACAGGAGGATGCCGTCTCAGAGAATCGAAGAGTCGCTCTTCAGGGAGCGTTCCGGAGACGCTCTTAGGTGGACTTCCTCTTCCAGGGGGGTGTGGTCGCAGAAGCTCGAAGCGAGCGATCGAAGCTTTGAGTGAGAAAAGACTGCTATTCTTGCCTCCATAGATCAAAAGAAGAGACCAAGCCATTGGCGAACACAGCAAGAGGGGCCTTAGCCTTAGCCCTTTCGGCAGGCGACAGTTGCCCCACCATCCGCCTTCGAAGCGCAGAAGAGCAGATGGCCAGCAAGCTCGGAGCCTTTGCCCCAGAATAGAAAAGCAGATGAGGTATGCTGAGGTGTTTTGATTGTCACAGGTTGCCCATTGGGACTTGCTCGTGCTTGGCTTTGGCTCAAGACCCCACTCTCTTAGCAGCTGTGTCTGGCACCATGGCGACCG